TCCCTGCTCGCTCCCCCTGGAGCAGACCCCACCCCGTCCCCCTGGCAGCGAGCTCCCTGCTCACTCCCCCTGGCACAGACCCCCATCCCCTTGGCAGCGAGCTCCCTGTTAGCTCCCCTCTGGCGCACATCTACCGTCCCCCTAGCAGTGAGCTCCTGCTCGCTCCCCCGGCACAGGGGACGCACAGCGCTGATGGAGCCCTGCCCGTATGCTGCTTCCCCTTCTCTGTGGGCTCTGGCTCCTAGGGGTGCTGTCCTGCCGCGAGCTCCAGCTGATCTGTGTCTGTTTGCCCTGCAGACCTGATTGTGGGCGCATTCGGAGTGGACACGGCCGTGGTGTACCGGTAGGCGCTGTTCCTCTCTGTGGGCTTTCCTGGGGATTTGGGGGCTGGTTCCGGGAGCCCACACCGTGTGGGTCAGCAATGCCAGGCCTGCCCTCAGCCACGGGCTGTGGGAATCTAAAGGCACTGCTGCCCCAGCCCACCATGGTGTTTCTGCACACCAGGGCCCTGTGCCCACCTGAACTTCTGCCCCTGCCCCCGGCTGGAGGTTACCCAAGCGGTGGTCCTCTCCAGCCAGCTTGGAACTCCTTTGCTAGAGTGTCAGTAACATTGGGGGATGGCATGGGAGCCAGCCTGAGCCATGGGCATCCCCGGCTTTGGTCATGGTGGGGAGGGGAAGCTGCTGCTCCGGGGGATTCCTGGCCCAACTGGAGCAATCTGGAACCAGATCCTCTCTGGTGTGAATGGCCCAGCCCCAGAGAAGCACGGGGCTGATTGAAGCCAGCCAGGGAGCCAGCCCCTCTGCAGGCAGAAGAGGCGGCGTCCAAGCTCTCTGGCCCCATTTCCCGCCACCCCTTCAGGGTCAGCCCAGTTCCGACCCTGCTTCAGTCCCTCCAGGCTGTGAACGTAGCATGTGACCATCTTCCCTGTCGTTCCTGGCGCCTGCCGCCCCACACAGAGGCCGCCCCATCGTCTACGCCAGCGCCTCCCTCAACATCTTCCCCACCATGTTCAACCCTGAAGAGCGATCCTGTACACTGGAGGGCACCGACACCCACGTGGCCTGGTAGGTAACACGCCCCCTTCGAGATCTGCCCTGCCGGCGGGGGGCGGAGAGCGCCGGGCGGGACTCAGGGCCTGAGAGCCCCAGGCGGGACTCAGGGCCTCCCTCCGGACAGGTGCCGCTTCCATAGGCTTGCCTGGCTGTGAGTCCCGGCTGAGGTGACTGGCTGTTGGGTTCTCCTTCTCTTCTTGTCCTGCACAGCCATGTCTGCTGCTCCCAGCCCAGAGGTGGCTGCACTGCAGCTTGGGGTGGCGGGAGGAGCATTCCCTGTGTGTACCGTGCACGAGACTCCGGCAAGGCTGACGGCCCCAGCCCCGTCAGAGGGGCTAAGCGGGTGGCGGGCGAATAGCATCTGCTTTTAGCCTTTTTTATGAACTCAACTGCTGGAGCTGGGCTCACTGAAACACTGCCAATGAACTCAGGTCTGGGGGACCCCCCCCCAACAGACGCCTGGGTGTAACCCCGTGTAGCTGGATGTGGCGTGTGTGAATTGCCCCCTGCGGCTCGTTGATCTCACTCCAGGGGGCTGTGGGGGGCGTGGGGGGTTAATGTGCCCCGGGGCCTGCTGGGGGTTTGTTTATAGCAAGCTATTTATCCGTTGCTCAGCAACAGGGGCTGCTGGCAGCCTGCCCTCCCCTTCCATGAATGAGCGATTGTGAGGCACTTGCAACCGGCTGGAGGGAGCTGGGCGGCTGGCTGTCCCGGCCTGGGGGCGGCTAGGGGGAGGCAGCTTCAGGCACTGGGTTGGGGGCAGATGGGGGGAGAAGGTGGGGAGGGGGATCGGCACTGTGGGTGGGGAGGGTTCAGGGGGGATCGGCATTACAAGGGGTAGGGCGGCAGGAATGCCTCAAGGGGCCAGTCAGGGGCTGCTCCTGATACCCTTCTGGGTTGTAGCAGCCCCCCACCCCCGCACCCTGGGAAGGATTTGACCTGAAGAATCCCCTCGCTCTGATTCTGATCTTGCTCCCACCTCCCGGGGTTTGCTTGCCTTCGGTGTTAACTATTAACCGGGGCTTGCTGGTGGTAGCCAGCTCACAGCTGCACAGGGCAGGGTGCGAGATAGGGATAGGTCGGGAACTCCATGGGGGGGCTGGAATCTAAGGGCTATTTGGAAGCGGGTGGGGCCCATCAGGAGGCCGCAGCCCTGGAGCTGTCACTGGCTCGGGGGTAACTGAAGATCCCAGGGTCTGGGTTCAGGGCGCCGGGGCAGCCCAGGTCTGTGGCCATAGCGTAGTCCAGGCCCCCTCCCCCCCCCCGCATTCCCAGCCCTGCCAGTGACTCTGGCCGGATCAGTTCCCTGCTCTGTGCCTCAGTTTCCCTGTTGCACCATGGGGAGGGCATCTCTCTCCCCCCACCTTCCCAGAGGGGTGGGTAACTAAGAGGAGGGCAGAGCGTGGGACTTGGGGTCAGGACTCCTACGCCACTGACCATCTGCACTGACAGCGGGTTGCCGGGTCCGTGCAGGGCTCCCACGCCGTTGCCCCCAAGGTGGATCAGCCCTGCCCCTGCGCTGGGTCTGGCAGGGCCCTGGCAGGCTCTGCCAGGTGTTGGCCTGCCCCAGGCCTATTGCATGTCTCTCTCTCTCCCATCTCGGCAGCATAAACCTGAGCTTCTGCCTCAACGCCTCGGGGAAGCACGTGCCCGACTCCATCGGTGAGTAGCGAGCTCGGGCGCCGGTCAGAGCAGCCAGGAGCCCGGTGCTGCCCCCGATCTTCCCAGAATCCCCTGGTCTGGGGAGTCTCACTGTCCTGGGGCACTGGGGAGCCAATGGGGGCGTGTCCATCCTACTGTGGGGTAGGTGAGCGAAGCAAGGTCAGGGCTTGGGTGGGAACCCAGGGGGCAGCACATACGGCTGTGGGTGAGTCAGTAGGGGGCGCTTGTCCCCCTAAGGAAAGGTGGCTTCACGGTTGAGGCACTGATCCTACACTCAGCTGTTCTGCTCCCTTGGGGCAAGTCATGAACCCACTTTCCCTGGGGGGTTGGAGCTCAGTTTGTCGCTGTTCATGAAGTGCTGGTAACTCACTGTCAGTCATTTATTATCTGATTGATTTCTGAACCCGTATCCCAGCACAGTGATGGGGCGCTGTGCTGCAGGGAGTGGGGTCGGGGCTCAGCAGGGGGCGCTCTCCCTACACAGTTGATGCTGACCCCAGTACCCCAGTGTGGCACTTGGGGACACTGCTGTGTTTCAGATGAGATGTAACACAGGTCCTGGCTATTCGTGGGTATTAAAGATGCCCTGACCCATTTTCCCGTGGTCGGGGTGGCCTGTTTGGTGACCTGTGTCCTCGTTCAGTTCAAAACTTGGGTAATTTCTTTCTGCCTCTAAATTCCCCTTAATTCCAGTGGGACACAGGATTCAGCTTTACTTCCTAAACTGCTTTGTAAGGTTGCTGTGCGCTGTTAAACAGCTGCTGAGCCCCGCCCCAGAGCTGGCTGCATGTCAGTGGTGGATGAAGGGCTCCCTTCTGAGGCCAGCTGGTGCCTCTGTGAAGCGAGGGGGGAGTTAATGGGGTGCTGCCGAGGCCTGGAGCCGTGACTGCAGCGTTGCCCTGGCCCCTGGGCTTTCCACTCACCCTGGCCTCTCCTCCCCCCGACAGGGTTCACTGTGGAGCTGCACCTGGACCACCTGAAGCAGAAGGGGGCCATCAAGCGGGCACTGTTCCTGCAATCCCGCCAGCCCCACCTGGCGCAGACCATCAAGGTGCACAACGGAGCCCTAGAGGAGTGCAGGGAGATGAAAATCTACCTCCGGGTAAGTGGGGCCAGCCCAGCCGAGAGCCGCAGCCCTGCACTGGGGTGACCCACCTGATCCCCAGGGGGCGCAGAGCCAGCCCTCGCCTGCAAGGAGGGTACAGGGGGCTCGTTGGGGAGGCTGCCAGACCTGTGGTTCTCTCTGCTCCCCAGCCCACGCTGCCCAGTGCCCCAGGCTCTCGCGGCCACGGAAGGTCTGCGCTGGCCAGGCTGCCATGGCAGTGGGGTGCCTCGGGGGTCCCGGCCAGCACCAGTCCTGGGCCCAGAGCCGCGTCCGTGCTGCCCCTGAGCACTCTCTTCTCTCCCCAGAATGAGTCAGAGTTCCGCGACAAGCTGTCCTCCATCCACGTGGCGCTGAGCTTCGGCCTGGACCCGCAGGCCCCGGCAGACGCCCACGGGCTGCAGCCCATCCTCAACTACCTCACCAAGAGCTACATCGAGCGCAAGGTGCGGGGGGGCTGCTGCTGCCTCCCGGGGGGCTGGCACCGCACTGCCCGGGCTCCTCTGTGGCGAGCGCTGAGGGCTCCCTGCGGGAGGCTGGCAAGCTCCCGGCTCTGCTCTGGTGGCAGGGCCTGGCCAGGGGTAGGGGAGCCCCAGCTTGGATCTCAGAGGCAGGGGGTTGCCAGCCCGGCTTTGTCAGCAGGGCCAGGCCCTGGGAGGGAGGGATCAAATTGGGGCCCCCAGGGCCATTTCCCAGGGGCTTTTCTGCCTGCTGTGCCCCTGGGAGGTCCCCTGGAGCCAATCTCACCGCGAGAAGGTGCCTCTCCCCAGGCCGCAGGCTCCTTAGCACCCCTCTTTGGAGCCCGCAAACCAGCACCCAGCTGCTCCCTGCCCTGTTCTGTCTCCGACTGGCCCTGGGGGTAGGGCAGGCAGAAATGGACAACCCCCCCTGCCCCCAGCACTGCCATCCCCACCCCCAATCAGGGGCCGATGCACCAGTGGAAGTGATGGGGCCCACGAGGGCAACATGGGGTCGGGTGGTTCCCCATGTGTGTGCACCAGGGGTCTTGGCTTTGTGGTCCCCCAGCTCTCTGTGGGGCCCTGGCTGGCTGTGCTGTGCCCACCCCTCTCCCTTCGTGCCCCAGGGACTGAGGGGCAGAGCGCTGGGGCAGGGCTTTGAGTGCTAAGCTGGGCAGCTCCGTGGTCTGCACCAGGCTCTGGGGTTCACCCTGTGCTGCCCGGGGGGGGGGGCAGTCCTGGGGCATGGAGGGGGGGGTACCCCATGACCAAAAAGTATAAAGGGGTATAAAGACAGCAGGGGAGGGGGTACCCCATGACCAAGGGGCACAGGTTGGAAGACTGCTCACACAGACCCTCACCCCTTCTCTCTGACCCCCAGGCCCAGATCCAGCTGGACTGTGGCGAGGACAATATCTGCGTCCCCGACCTGCAGCTCAACGTCTTTGGGTAAGGCTGGCGGGAGGCGCCTCGGGCAGGGGCGATGCCGGGGGGCATCTGCAGTGACCAGCTCAGAGCGTGGGGTGAGCTGTGAGCAGCAGCGTGCCCAGGGGGAGCAGCCCTGCACTGGGGTGGGCGTGGTCTAGCGGTGCTGGCTGGCAGAGACGACTGGTGCCTGTTGATAGTGGGGGGGCACAAGTTAAAGGTTCCCCCCCCCCAAACCCCGTGCCCCCCCCCCCCCCCCCAAGCCTAGTGGCCCCTCGCTGCAGCTCCCAGCTGTTTGCTGCTCCCTCTCCCCACGGCCACAGCTTGCAGCTCACCAGCTCCAGGAGCTGCCTCACAGGGAAGGGGCCTGGCCAGCAAACCCTGGAAGAAATGGGGGGGCACATGACCCCCCTCCTCCCCCATGCGTCACCTCTGCAGGCTGGGAGCTAGGACTCCTGGGTTACATCCCTAGCCTCCAGCACCCTGCCCAAGGCTCAGCGAAGGGTCCATGCTGGGACCAGCGCTGAGGATGCGCTGGGAAGCCCGGGCCTAGGGCGGCCCCCAGCAACCCCCCTCAGGCTGAGGGTGCAGAGGGCTGGGAGCGAGGATCAAGGCCAGCCGCCCAGGTAGATGAGAGCGGGGCACTGTGCGTGAGTGGGGCGGGGCAGGGAGGGGGTGCAGTTAGGGCGAGGGAGGGGCAGCTAGCGCTGGGGGCAGGGCAGGGAGGGGGCCATGGGTGATGCTGCTCCCCCGAGTTGGGTTTCCGGGCTGCAGCTCCATCTTTTCTGGGTGCTTGCATGTGGCAGAGGCCCCGGGGAGTCTCTTTTCCCCATCACGAGGTGGGACTGTTCCTCAGGGCACCGCTCCCTTGGGCTTTGGGGCAGGCCTGCCCAGATCTGACTGGGACAGCGCAGGAGTGGTGTCTGGGGGGCATGGCTCAGGTACTCTACAGCAGGGTGCCAGCCCTCCCCACCAGCTTCCTTTCCTTTCACCTCCCTCCCTCTCCCCTCTCTGCTGCCCAGGGCACCCAGCGGCCGATGGTGCCCTGCTCTCTGGATCATGGGGTGTGAGAGGAGAGCTGCCCCCTGGGGGTGGGGCTGGGCAGTCCCCGGAGGCCCCAGGTCAGTGGGGTGGGTTGGGGATCGCCTCTGTTTGGTGTGGGATGGGAACCCGGGGATGCTGCCCAGAGTGTCCCCCTCTGCTCTGGACCTGCTCCAGTTTCTCCCGGCCCCATGGGCCTGAGGCGGCTGGGTCTGGTGTGGTGCTCCCCCTCCTCCTGGCAAGGCCCAGATGTGGTGAGAGGAGGGCAGGAGCTGATGCCAGCCCCTCCCTCGCAGAGCTCTGAGCCCGGCCTGGAGGAAGCCCGTTGCAGGACCCCAGCTGCGTGGGCGACGTGACTCCCCCTCCCCCACACACATGGCCTAACGCAAAGCAGCTGCGCCCGCATATGGAAGCCCTTAGCCTGGCGCTGAGTGTAAGCAGAGCTGGGCGGAGCACAAGCAGCGCTGGCACAGCCGTGAGAACAGCAGGGCCACCCCCCACGAGCTGGGGAATGGGGGCTCTGGCTGGGCGGCGCTGGGCAGGCAGCAGGTAGACTGGCCGGAGCCCCTCGTCTGGCTGTGACCTGCAGGCGAGTCCTGGCCGTGCCATGCCGGGGCGGGAGGGGCCGTGTCTCCAGTTGTGGGCAGCGCCAAGGCCGGTTCTCATGCCTGTTGTGCCCTGCAGGGAGCACAGCGTGGTGTACCTGGGGGACAAGAACGCCCTGAACCTGACCTTCAACGCCCGCAACCGCGGGGAGGGTGGCGCCTACGAAGCTGAGCTCTACGTCATCCTGCCCACTGAGGCCGACTACTCCGGGGTGATCCGCAACCATGGGGTAGGTGGCAGAGACACCCCGCGAACCACCTGGCTCACAGCTGGGCAAGGCCCTCTGCTCTGGGAGTGATGCAGGCTCCAGGGACATTGCTCCTGGCTGCTCCCTCGCAGTGCCGTGGGGCCCAAGTCCCTGGCTCGGGGCTGCGGCTCCTTGGCATGGGCCCCGCGGTGCTGGTCTGAGCCCCCGGAACAGGGTGGCCAGGCGTGTGCTGCCTGCTGTAAGGGGACCCCTGGGGACGGGACTCCTGCAGGGGAGCTCAGGGATGCCCCCGCTCCCCACAGCAGGGTGGTACGGGTAGAGGGCCCAGTATCTCCTCTTCCCTCCAGTCCCCCTCCCGTGCAGACCCCCTCCCCATGCAGCCCTGCTCTGATCCCAGCTTCCTTCCCCTCCCCCGCAGAACTTCACCAACCTGAATTGTGCCTACGAGTCGGTGAACCGGACCCGCATGGTGATCTGTGACCTCGGCAACCCCATGAAGTCGGGCACCAGTGTGAGTAGCTGTCCCACACCTGGAGCACCCTGGAGAGCTGGCCAGCACGGCCCTCACTGGGCAGTGCCCTCTGCCCCCGGGAGTGGCCACCTAACCGAGACCTGCTCTGCTGAGAGGCCGGGCAGGACTGCTGGGTGCCATGGCACTGAGGCGTCTGGCCATTTCCCGGGGGCATTGGGGAGGGGGAGGTGTTGGGGTGCCAGGCCTGGGGTGTGGTTGGGTGCTAGGGTGGGTGGGTGACTGGAGCAGCTGGGGAGTGGGGCTGGGACGGTGGGGTGCCAGGGCAGCAGGGGGCTGGGGCAGGCAGGAAATGGGACTGGGATTTCCCTTTGTCCCCGGTAAATCTGCTGCTGGGAGTTGCCAAGCGCCCCAGCAGGGCGACTCATCACAGTCCTAGCCAAGGCCAGCAGGGGTGTCATTTCCACGGGTTTTCCCTGCATGTGTTGGAGTTGCTGAGGGCCCAGCTCCCCCATATGATGTGCCCAGGGGCCAGGGGCACATCAGGGGCGGGCAGGGAGCTGGGCTGTCACGGGGCAGGGGGCACATCAGGGGAGAGGGGAGGGCAGGGAGCTGGGCTGGCAGGGGGCAGGGGGCACATCAGGGGAGAGGGGAGGGCAGGGAGCTGGGCTGGCAGGGGGCAGGGGGCACATCAGGGGAGAGGGGAGGGCAGGGAGCTGGGCTGTCATGGAGCAGGGGGCACATCGGGGGAGAGGGGAGGGCAGGGAGCTGGGCTGGCAGGGGGCAGGGGGCACATCGGGGGAGAGGGGAGGGCAGGGAGCTGGGCTGTGACGGGGCAGGGGGCACATTGGGGACAGATGGGGAGCTAGGTCCTTCCAGGGAGCTGGGAGAATAGAGCCATTAACCCTCCTCTGTCCCCCAGCTCTGGGGGGGCCTGCGCTTCACCGTCCCCCATCTTCGTGACAAGAAGACCATCCAGTTCGAGTTCCAGATCCGGAGGTAATGCCAGGCATCCCCGTCCCCTCCCTCCCCACACACACGCACTCTGGGACCCGCCCTCCCCAGCTATGGGGTGGGGTCAGGGCTCCCCACTCCCATAGCCCCATTGCTCCCTCAGGGAGGATCCCAGGCTGGGCCACCCCCACGCAGGAGCCCAGATGCACCCAGTGCTTAATTTGCAATGAAAGAGGTGCTGAGGCTCAAGCAATTTTTTTACATTCTTAACTGATGTGGCAAGTCCAGAGGTGCCGGGGCTCTGACCGGCCAGGCCCGGAGGTGCCGGGGCTCTGACCACGGAGGGGAGCAGGGAGTGGGCCGTGCATGGGAGCAGGCCATCCCATGCAGGGGAGCAGGGAGCCATGCGGGGGGCAGCAGGGAGCTGGGCAGGGGAGCAGGCTGCTCTGTGACGCACTCTGCTCTCTCCACAGCAAGAACGAGAACAACTCCCGCAGCGAGGTGGTGGCGTTCCCGCTGCGCGTCGAGGCCTCTGCCAGGGTCTCCTCCCACGGGTGAGTGTGCCCAAGCCCCAGCCTCCATGCAGGCCCTGCAGTGCCACAGCCCTGAGTCAAGGGGGCCTGGCCTTGGGCGGGGGGGCGGGGGGGGCCAGCACTCAGTCCAGGTCCTGCTAGCTGCTCCTTTTTAGCCCCCCAGCGCCCCTCCAGAAAACGGCCCCCTCCCCCAGTCACTATTTCACATCCCGCCCAGGCCGGCAGGAAGCCATGGCCCAGCTGTGGCTGTTCTGTGGCCCCTGCATGACACGAGCTCAGCAGCTCTCAGCGCAGATCGCTAGTGGCCCCTCGCTGCAGAGGCTGTCTGGGCTGTGGGGACTGATCCCCAGGGCCAGCAGCCAATGACCATCTGCGCCTGCCTGCAGGGTCTCCAAGCCTGAGGCCGTGTCCTTCCCCGTCTCGGGCTGGAAGCCTGGCAGGAGTCCGGAGAAGGAGCAGGACGTGGGCCCCGAGGTGCAGCATGTGTATGAGGTGGGTGTCATGCGCAGCACAGCTCCCCTGGCTGGCAGCATCGGGGCAGGGAGCAGCGCCATCCCCCCTGCAGGCTGGGTAGGAGCAGTCCAATCTTCCAGCCCCTCTGCTGGGGGATACCAGGGGGTCGGGGGGCCAGGACAGCTTGAGGAGGGGGGTTCTGTGGGGCCAGGATGGGAGGAGAGGGGCTGCCTGATCGGGAGGCCCTGGGGGCCCATACTGAGAGGGGATTTTGGGGGGGTGCACACTCCACCAGGGCACTCCGTCCAGGCCAGCTGGAATGCCCCACTCCCTGCTTTCTCCTCTCCTCTCCCCTGGGGGTCACGGGCACCGAGGCCACTGCACAGCCAGATGGGCTGCCCCATTCCCGGTGAGCCCGGCACCCCGTGGGACACTGCAGACTGGCACAGACCCTCCCTCTCCCTCTCCCCCCTTGCAGCTGGTGAATGAAGGTCCCAGCACCATCAGCCACGGGGTCCTGGAGCTGAGCTGCCCTATGAGCTTCCAGGGGAAACCGGTGATGTACGTGACCCGCTACTCGGTGCCGGCCAACTGCACCTCCAGCCAGCCCGTCAACCCGTTGAAGCTGCAGGTAACTGGGACGCAGGGCTGGCCCCGGGCAGGGCGAGCCTTTGTGTGCTGCGATGGGCTGGGGCTCTCCACTAGGGGGCAGTCCCCTCACCACCCTGTCTGCACAGGGTCCCGTGGGCCCGGGGTGACATTCGCAGGGCAGCAGGGGCTCGGGTTGGGCCAGCCACGTGCTGAGTCGGGGTTTCCAGGGGCTGGCAGTTGGGTGGGGGTTGGAGTTTGTTTCAGGAATCACAAAAATTAGTGAGTTGGGAGGGGCAAGCACAGAGGAGGTGAGAACTGCTGGGAAACCTGCTAATGCCCCAGACCCGACCCGCAGCCCTGCTCTAGCAACGACCGATGGAGTTGAATTGTGTCGTGTGTTTCTGTGAGGGGGATGCCGTCCCATGCCCCTTCCTGGCTCCTGTTGCCGTTGTCGCGTTGTCTGGAGCGGCTCATGACCGGGAGTACCGAGTCAGGGCAGACGCCCCAAGCGGGTGGTATGTTCTGTAATTCGATTTCACCAAGCCAGTAACAACTGTGAACTCCTGGATCGCTGTACCAGCCTTACCATGGAGTCACAGACCGTCCCCTGAGACTCTCCAGTCTGTCTTGCCACTGGACTTAATGATCACACACACCAAAAATCACACCACATTCAGGTTGCGTCCAGCCCCAGAGACCAGTCACTTACCCCAGATCAACTGGTGCTCTAGCTCCTCCTCCAAAGGCAACAACTGTAGCCAGTTCTTTACTTAGCTGTCTAAAGGTTTATTAATTAGGAAAAAGCAATAAGAGAGTTATTTACAGGTTAAAGCAAGCAAACGTACACACCCCACGAGTTACCATCTCAGTCCTAAGAGTGATAGAATTGTAGTGATCTGTCTTTTCCAAATGTCTTTGAATTCCCTGGGGATCTCTGGCCTCAGTTTAGAGTCTCTGGTCCTTCAGAGTTCAAACGGCCAAAAAGATGCTTTTTCTTCTTGTCAGGAATGTTTATTCCCTTCCGCCAGAGTTCAAGATGATGGGATGAGTCCAGGTGCATGTCTCCTCTTCCTGGGTGGAGGTGCACAGTCTTTTGTCTCTGACGTACCCCAGTGGTTTGTCTGGTGTCTATTGGCAGTTTCAAAGCAAACACTTTTACATTACAGAGCAGACACTGAAATCTTACCTTATACCATGGGACCCAGACATTATCAGTGAGATGAATACATTACTCCTGGGGCAATTCTGCGCCAAAAAATTTAAAGTTCTGCACACAATATTTTAAAATTCTGCAAATTTTATTGTCAAAATAACACAGTATAATCAGATTAGTTCCAATATTTTGGTAATTTATTCCAAAATACCTGTCAGCAAGTCTGTCTGTAACAATACAGACAACAAAAAACATTTCCTGAATGTTTTTTGACAAATAGTTGCCTTACTAGGCATATTAATACAGAACTTTGAGTAATAATTCATTTAAACTACAATACAGAACCATATTTCCTGCCCTCCTCAGAAGCAGTGCAAAGGCTGGGGGAAGTCGGGGTAATAGAGGAGCTGAGGGGGATAGAAGTAATTCCTGGGAAGGAGCCTGGGTGTGAACTTGGAGGGTTGTTAGGTGTGGGTAGGAAAAGTATGGAATAGGGTTTTTTTCTGGGGGGAAGGGGGATTGTTAGGGAGCTTTCCCCATGCAGACACTGGCTGACCCCTTCCCCCCATGTGTCCCTGCACCGTTTGTCCCCCATGTGTCCCTGCACCCTTTGTCCACATGTATCCCTGCGCCCTCACTCAGCCACCCCCACTCCCATTCAGCCCCTGCTCCAGTCTTCCCCCCCCCCACTAGCCCTTCTGAATCCCAGTCTGAGGGCCCCACCCAGCAGCCCCATGTGCCACACATTGTCCATCCCCCCATAGCCCATGCCTCCTGGCCTGGCCCCATAAGGCAGGGCGCTGGAGGAATGCAGCCTTTTCTCTTCCCTATCCCAGGAGCAGCTGCTCTGTTCTGGTGCCACAGTGGCCCCTGGTGGGCGAAAGGTGTAACTGCAGCACTTCTCAGCAGAATGTATTTTATGCTGAGAAAAAAAATCTGCGCGGCACATGAATTCTGGAGAATTCCCCCAGAAGTAATACATGCAGCAACATACAAGCATTTCATAGAGTCTAGACACTAAAAACATTCTTATAAGACTAATAACTATTTTGAGCAAAACTAACGTACAGGTGACCTGGTCTGGTCTCCAGCTACAAGGCCGTCAGTTAGTGCCTGCAGCCAGGGCAAGGGCTGGCATCTCTCTTGCAAGGGTCACAGCTGGATTGCAGTCAGAGGGGTTGGCAGCTGTGGGGCAGGTCAGAAGTGCTTGCCTTTACCAGCAGAGGTGGGATCTAGTGCGGGCCTTGCAGGCCTGGCGTCCCCACCCTGCCCCTCCCTTGCACAGGGCATGTGGGGGGCCACGCAAAGGTGACTCACTCTCCTTGGAATGTGTTCGCAGCTGGAGAAGAATCCCACCACCTCTCCCAGCCCGGAGCAGCATTACCTACAGAGATGGGACGCGGCACGGAGCAGTGGGGCCTCCGGGAGCCCCCACACCCTGGTCAGTGCTTCTCTGAAGTCTGCACACCCCAGGTCAGGGGTCGCTGATCTCCGCGTGCAGCTGCACCTAGGGTGCCCTGTGACTGCTGAGGGCACAGTGCACAAGAGTCAGTCTCTGCCCGGCCCTGGGAGTGGAGAGTCATCAATCAACACCCACTCCCCAGGGCCTACGGGCCTGGCACGCATGGGCAGAGTGTTACCCGTGTCCTTGCCCTGTTCTAATTCAGGAGCGTTTGGTGCACCCAGCCCCCTGCCATTGCACCTGGATTCAGATACTCCTCCCATTCCCACGCAGCACTGCTGTGTGCTGTCCCACCCCAGAGGTGGCTGCATTCTGGTTCTGCCACTGCTAACAGCCTCCTTTTCCATGCAGAGCCTGGCGCCAGCGATGGTCGCTCTGCCTTTCAGAATGCCGAGGCCAACCCCAGTCATTGGGCTGGGCTGTCTCTGCCCAGCCTCCATTCCTGGGGCTGCTTCCCAGTGGCCGCCGGTGTCCCAAGGTCTAATGTTGGAGACGGTCACTTCTATTCTGCTGGGCCCCAACCCCTGCTGTGTCACTGACCCTCTGTCCAATGGTCTCTCCCCACAGAAGTGCCCCGAGGCCGAGTGCTTCCAGCTGACCTGCCAGGTGGGGACGCTGCAGAGGCAGCAGCGGGTCAGCCTTTGGCTTTACTTCCGGATATGGGCCAAAGCTTTCCAGCAGGTGAGTGCTGCTCCGCCCCCTCCCACCTCCATCCCCCAGCTCCCTGCCCCCAGGGCAGCCGTGTCTGGGAGGCCCCACACATGCTCCCCATGCGGGCCTGGCCTGGGGCCTCAGCTTTCCTGTCAGCAGGGGCCTCCTGCGTCGCCATCTGTCCCCCAGGGCTGCCAGCCCTTTTTAGCACGTCAGGCCCCTCCAGCTCTGGGTGTCTGCGTGAATCCCCGTCTGCCAGTGTTTGGCAGGCAGGGGGTGGGGCTCCCCTTTCCCTGCTCTGGGCAGGCGGGCTCCGCCGTCTGCCTGTCTGCACGGAGGCCCCACGTTGCAGCTCCCATTGGCTCAGCCCTGCCCTGGGGTCTCTCTAGGATTCTCCCCCACCCCCCAGGGGAGCCGTGACCCGGATGAGCTCCCCGAGTCTCCGCAGCATCCCAGGGCACCTGTTGCTCCCTCCCGACCAGGCTCTTTGCTTAGACCCTCCTACCTGGGCAGGGTAAACGGGGTCTCGCCCCCTCCATTCCTCCAGACCAACTCCCGAGAATCACCCTGGGTGGCATCAGCTGCCTCCAAGGATTGCAGCAATGTGTGGGTGGCACACGGCAGCAGCCTGCCCAGCCCCCGAGCAATCCCCAGCAATGCACCTGCCTGCTCAGCCCCCACCCAGGCCCCCAGCAAAGCACCGGTCTGCCCAGCCCCCCAGCAATGCACCTGT